TACAAGTTCTAGGACGCGAGTCGTATTCAAATGAAGGTCGCATGCCAAGCAAATATTTCGTGTCCAAACGGGACGTATACCAAGTTGGATTTATTCCAAAGCGGACGGATGCCGAGGTACCACTGTAATATGCTTTGCCACTTTTTCCTTGAATGTCTCAAAAGTTATTTACCTATTTACTGAAGACACGCTAATAATAATGAATGGGATGAAACAATTTTCATAATAAAATTCAACAGGTGCTAAAGTGTAATAGTTCACAATTTTGCCATTATATACCAAAGCTCATTTATTTGATTACCACTTTATTGTTCACCACAACTTATATTAGTCCCTTTTATATTGTTTTTCCTAATTCTAACTTTAAAGAATTACCTTTAAAGTACTACCTACTATTATATTCTCAAGCTCCATTATTTGATCATCACTTTATTTGTTCACCACAAATTATTTTAGTCCCTTTTATATTGTCTCCTTTATTTTAGCTTCAAAAAAAAAAAAAAAAACTACCTTAGCTCATTATTTTTACATTTGTTAAATAATTCAGGTGCTATTTTTTAGCTTTAGACTATTTACTTTGTTTTATACTTAATTCTAACTATAGATTCACTACAAATCTTATGATAACAAGCATTGATCCTGATACCAACCTCTTATTTAATGACTTAAAAAATTTCAAACAGTAACTGTAATTACTACACAGCAGAACAATCAAAGACACTTCTCAGAGCTAACAACAACATAACTATCTTTAACTACAATATCAGATCTTTAAGCAAGCATTATGATGACCTCATAGCATTATTAAATTCCTTGCATGCCAATATGTCCATCATTACACTAACTGAAACCGGCTAAGCCTGATACTTCAGATGTCTATGCCATTCCTGGTTACACACCCATACACAACTGTAGGCCAGATCAACAAGGGGGTGGCACAGCTATATACTACTCAGGCCAACTAGAATGTATCACTAATACTTGCACAAGGGATGAACATGGGGAATATATAATAGCTAAATTCAAATCCAAATACCTACAAAAACCTCTCACATTGATAAACATCTACAGAGTTCCACAGTCAAACATTAGCCAATTTAGTCAAAACCTAGGAAGTATGATAACTGATGCACGCATGAACAAAGATCACTTACTACTCTCAGGTGACTTCAGTATAAATCTCCTACAAGACCAGGACCCACACGTTACTGAATTCACAAACACTATGAGTAATTTCATGTTACTACCAACAGTAACAAAACCTACAAGAGTTACAGAGACTAGTGTTTCCCTACTAGACCACATCTGGACCAACACCATATCCCCTTTAACATCAGGAATAATTACAGATAATACAACAGACCACTACACTAATTTCCTCATAACAACTCTTGGTAAATTACCCCAAGACACTACTAAAGTCACCTTCAGACTTCACAATGAGGCAGCCATTAATAACTTCACAACAGCAGTAACAAACATTGACTGGGCACACTGAGCTAGAAATCTATACAGATATTGACGAATGTATTAATAATTTTCTAAAAAAGACCCAATACCTCTATAACAAGCACTGCCCTAAAAAAACTAAACAGATGGCAGCTAAGAGACTGAACAGTCCCTGGCTAACACCCAGCATTCTCAAATCCATAAATACAAAACACCGATACGAAAAACAGTACAGAATGGGTCACATAACCAGAGACCAAACAAAACGTTACTCGTCAATCCTAACCAGCCTGATAAGAAGGGCAAAAAAATTGTATTATGAGAACAGATTATCCAGCTTACGAGGTGATATAAAAAAGACCTGGAAAACCCTATCAGAAATTCTGGGAACAAAAAAGATATCATGAAATAGCGAAATAAAATTAGCAAAATCAGATGAACCCCAACTCCCACCAACAGAAACAGCAAACAGACTCGATGATTTCTTCTCCACTATAGGACAAAACCTTGCCAATAAAATCCCAAGCTCAGATACCCCACCAAATGACTACCTCACTGGCAACTACCCGAACACACTGTTCCTAGCTCCGACTAACCCATACGAAGTCTCCCTTATTATCAACGCACTAAAAAACAAGGCAGGAGATTTAAATACCTTACCACCCTTTATATACAAAGAAGTGTCACAAGTGCTATCACCAATCATTGCAACACTCTTTAACAAATCCATTGAATCCTCCACTTTCCCTACAGTTCTCAAAATAGCAAGGGTCACCCCGATCCATAAAGGAGGGGACCAAACAGAGTTGAATAACTCTAGGCCAATATCCAACTTACACCCTCTCTCAAAAATCTTCGAAAAATTAATTCATAAACGAATCTACTCCTACCTCATCTCCCAAAACATACTCAACCCCTGCCAATTTGGATTCAGGCCTAATAAAAATACTAATGATGCTATTATACACATGCTAGAACATATATACACTGCAACAGAGAAAAAAGAAGTACCAAAAAAGAAGTACCACTGGGGATCTTCATTGACTTACGTAAAGCTTTTGATACAGTTGACCATGACTTGCTCCACATAAAATTGTCACACTATGGTATAAGAGGGCACTCCCTCAACTACCTCAAGTCATACCTCAGCAACAGAAGCCAATATGTGTACGTAAATGGGGCAAACTCTTCCGCACAACCAATTACAGTTGGCGTCCCACAGGGAAGTGTCCTTGGTCCTCTTCTCTTTCTCATATACATAAATGACCTACCAAATGCTTCGCAATTACTCAAACCCACACTATTTGCAGATGACACTACATACGTCTTCTCCCCACCCGAGCCCAGTCACGCTAGCCAATACTGTAAATACCAAATTACAGAAAATATCTACCTGGATGAGGACTAACAAACTTACACTAAACATTGACAAAACCTACTTCATTCAGTTTGGTAACAGAGCTACAGATGTCCCTCTTAACATAATGATAAACGAATCACCTATCACAAAGCTAACAGAGGGAAAATTCTTAGGAATCCACCTTGATAATAGACTCAAATTTCATACACATATACAACAAATTTCTAAGAAAATTTCCAAGACTGTAGGCATACTATCGAAGATACGGTACTATGTTCCACAGTCAGCCCTCCTGGCCCTATATCACTCTCTTATTTACCCCTATCTCACCTATGGAATTTGTGTATGGGGCTCAACAACAATTAACCATCTCAGACCACTAATTACCCAACAAAAGGCTGCAGTCAGAATTATAACAAATTCCCACTACAGGCAGCACACTCCACCAATATTCAAAACACTAAACCTACTCACCATACAAAACATCCATACTTATTACTGAAACCTATTACATACATAGAACACTTAACTCTGATATTAACCCTCCCCTCAAACATCTCCTTGCCAACCTCAACAGAACACATGACCATAACACAAGGCACAGATCACTCTTTGATGTTCCTCGTGTCCATCTCATGCTATGCAAAAACTCAATGCACATAAAAGGCCCTAAAATCTGGAATTCATTACCTGTAAATATAAAAGAAACACTACCTGTTTATAAATTCAAGTCTCTTCTCAAAGATCACTTACTCACCCAAAACCAAATAAATACTGAATAACTGAACCTTATAAATTGTATATCTTAAATGTTTCTCACAATTATATCACATAAATGTTAAACCTAAGACCCAATCTAACTTTGTTATTTTTTAAATACACTACCTAACAGAATACTCCATTCTACTGAATGTACAGCAATGCATGCAACAATATGACCTGTCTTTGTAATACTTATTTGTGCTTTAGGGTTATCTGTTTACAATAATATTTTATCACTGATTACATCATTGCTTAGTTAATCTTAAGTTAATTTTAAGCCAGCCCGTAATGCTATGCATACAAGTGGCTTTGGCATGCTGCTCTTACCTGTATTTTTTTGTACCGCTGTATGTATGCTCAAATTACTAAATAAATAAATAAATAAACAGTGATTAGGGGGGTGGGGTAAAGAGTAGATATTTTATCACATGTCCACAACTTACTAACTTCATTTTTTGAGAGGATGAAAATAAGGCATATTACAATATTTTCCTGCATAATAAAATCAGTTTAGCTTTGTTTAGGTGTGTCATTTCCTTCAGACTTCCTACAATTTATTAATACTACTCACCATTCACTATAAGTTAAGGACAAAATATTTTAAGGTAAGTAATAAGTGTACTGTATATGGATTTTACCTTGATTTTTTTAGGCCTAGCTTTTTTGCTCACTTAATACATGATAGTGTAAACATTTTATTAGGCTTTTATATGCATTTTGAAGTGAATAAAAGGCTGTTTCACTTTATGGTGATTTTCACTTTATGGTAGTAGCTTGGACCTAACTTGCCATATAACTGGGGCCTTACTGTACATATAAATAAACCTTATTTTCCACCAAGCACAATATACAGTATAAAATAAATACAACAGGGAAACTATTGCCCACCAAGTATGCTAAATGAACATGAAGGGCATATTAACAAAATAACATATATCAGATGTTTCATTAATTTCCATTTTTATCTGCAGATCTTTGGCAGTAAGCTTCCTACCTTTCAATATTCTTTTGTGTCTCTGCTGCTACTACACCATTCTTGTTCAGAATTATAAACAAATACTATAGTCCTGCCTGAATAAGCAGAACAAAATCCAGTAAAAATAAGCTCTACTTACAATACACCACTCAATAATACTTAATGGAGTTAAAGCTAAAGAAAAAACAAAAAACTAACTACTTTGCAAAGTGTGGTGGCTTGTGAAACTTGGAATTACAAGTTGAGGGCTCTCTGGCATGTACTGTAGGACAGATACAACCACATCAGTCTACATCATATTAAGAATAAAATACCAAGTTTTATTTACTACCCAAAAGGCTAGCATTATTGGCTAGCTCACAAAGGTGATAACTAAAACTACCTCTGCCCGACACATCTACTCATCCTCGACTAAGATGATCAGGAGTTAGGGCAAAGGCTTTAAGTACTCACTTGTGATGGTGCTCATGGCCATTGGTATGAGGCGTGGCAGGCAGGTGGCGGGCAGTGGGCGGGTGTTTAGGAGTAGAGCTGAGGGATAGTGATGAAGATTTACGCGGACGTGGGACAGGGGGGGTAGTCACTCGGGGTGCTAACAAGCCGTCCCTAGAATGAGCAAGCTATTTAGAAAATGACATCAAATTTGATGAACAGGAAAACAAGACTAAGATAAAGAAGAGTGAAGCCATAATGAGCCATTGTTCGCTACAAGAAAGAACAGGTGAAACAAGGCGTGAGGATGATCTAGTGACTGGCTGTAAACCTAAGCTGATGACACCAAGCAAACTTACACAACATGCAGCATCAGAGTCACAATCTTGAGATAACAACACTAGGCTATTTCTTGCAAAACCATGTTTTAAAAATTTATAATTGCTGTATATATTAAAGCACTCTACATGCACCATCGCAACTTTGAGGATGATGACATGCATTATGTATCCATGGAGAAAAAAATATAACCAAAATAGATTTTAAGGATTTCTTAGAAGACTTGATGTATGTGATTAATCCAGTTTACCTGGGAATAAGTAAGTTTAATAGACCAAAATTTAAGAACATTAGTCCTGAGTATAACTCATATCCTTTGCACTAGTACCATGGAAATGGTCACCATGTAATGTCAAAAGGCAGAAAATTAAAAAAAAAAATTAGGCACTCCCTTCCAATGCAAAGGGACGAAAGAAAATACATTCACCATCACTCATTTCCTAGTTGTCTTTCTAGAAGTGCATGGGCATCACAATTCAAATAATCCACAAAATTGCAAGACCCCACACAACCTTCAGAGTGCAAATGCATCAGAAGCATATATACTGTGGGGTGCAACTTGAAATAAAACAGCATAGTTGGATAAAGAACTTACTTGAGTATCTAAATTTGAGAATGAAAAGTAGCACATCAAGTATGCCCATACATACCTGTTTTAAATGCTTAATGATAAGCCTGGGTCAGGAAGGCCAATCTTTGATGAGGAAATAGCTACATACAGCATACTAATGTAAGTAATTTTATTTCATAAAAAATCATAAATAAATAATCATTTTTTAAGCATGATTTTAAATAAGTACAAAATAATGCACAATGGGAAGGAATAAATGTTAAGTCCAGAAGAGGCAACTGCCCACAAATGCACCTAGATAGTAGATTAAGCTGTAAAAGCTGAGCCAGAGTACAAGTAGCCTGGAGTGTACCAATACATTAACAGCAAAGTACGAGCAGCCTGGGAATGTACCAATACATTAACAGCAAAGTACGAGCAGCCTGGGAATGTACCAATACATTAACAGCAAAGTACGAGCAGCCTGGGAATGTACCAATACATTAACAGCAAAGTACGAGCAGCCTGGGAGTGTACCAATACAGTAACAGCAAAGTACGGGTAGCCTGGGAGTGTAACAATACAGTAACAGCATCTGGAGGTGCTTCCAAATTACTTCTTCAGAAATTCTCTCTCATATTCAGAATACAGTGCATGTTTGTGGTAAATGAATTACAGTAAATTTAAAATAATAAAAACTGGACACCTCTTATCCAGACAAAAATAAAAACTGAATTCAAGATTTTTCTGAATTAAAATTTAGATTTTTTATCTGAATAATTCTAATAGTAACATACAAAAATTTATTATCTCTGTTTTTTAAAAATCTGAAATTAAAGAGATTTTCAGAGTTGATATTTAGAATTTTTTATTCTTATTAGAAAGAAGTAAAATTTTAGAGGTCTAATTATATACTGTACAGTTCTGAACCCTCTAAAAAAAGAAAAAGCCTTCGAATAGGAAACACAATACTGGATAATGATGATGATGATTAAAAACTGAAGGGCATTTTACAAAATCTCACTTATTCACCCAATTTTCCATGGTGCCCTTCTCCTGGCTTGGTGTACGATCCCTAAATTACAGACAACCCATAATATTTCCTCTAAAATGAGCTCAATGGCTTTCCCTGCCCAAATATTTTTTTTTCTGGGCATTTTTTCTTGTGAGTACAACAATTAATCAGATTAGAGTGATACAGTGGACCCCCGAATTACGTCGTCGTCGGATTTCGTAATATTCGGAATAAGTAACTTTTTTCTTCAAAATATTGGCTCGTTGATCGTCAATGAACTTGGTACAGTGGTCACTCAATTATCGTCCTTAATCCGTTCCTGGAAGTGGGACTATTATCAAAATAGACAATTTTCAAATCAATTTTCCCCATAAGAAATAATGTAAATCCAATTAATTCGTTCCAGACACCCAGAAGCATCAACAACAATTTTTTTTTTTTACCTAAAAGATAGATTTACATGCACAAAAGAATGAACATTCAACATGACAGATACCTTTATTGAAGGCTGTTGTTGATGAATGGATGACAGGGAGGAGGAGAGAGGGAAGAGAGGTTATTGTTTGGAAGGGGAATCCCCCTCCATAAGGACTCTAGGTCACTTCAGGGGTCACTTCCCTAGCATAAATATAGATTTACATGCAGAAAAGAATGCAAAATAAATGTAAAGCACTAATAAAATGTATAAATGAACAGTGGTAATAGGGGTAGTTGATGAGTGGAACGGTCTGCCTAGTAGGATGATCAAAGCTAAAACATTGGGTAGTTTCAAATTTAGGTTGGATAAATACACGAGTGAGAGGGGTTGGATTTGAGTCGGACTTGCACCTGAGCTTATTGGTTGGGTAGCATTTGTTCTGTTAGTGGGTTGGATTTGTGAAGGACTGGCCTAGTATGGGCCAGCAGGCTTATTGCAGTGCTCCTCCTTTCTTATGTTCTTATTGAAGACTTGTTTGTGTGAGGGAGGTATGGCAAGTTTATTGTTGGAGAATATGACAGTAATATCAACTCTACGGCTTATTTATCTATCACAATTCAACTAATATGACATAATAAACAATATTAATAACAAAAACATGGAATATACTCTAGAATGAATAAAATAAGTCATTACGTATGTCATGAGAGGTGTTGTGTTGTGTTGTTGTTGGGTGTATAAGGGCCACTGAGAGTAAGCCGTCCATAATGGTGGTGAAGCAGCAGCTGAGGCGGCAGTGTTTTCTTTTAGCCCTATATAACTCCAACAACATTGGAGGAGTTGGTAGAATCGCTGAATCACTAAAGAAGGCACCCTGTACCACCATCACTACCACCTTCTACCACTATTACAACTGCTACCACCATCACTACCATCTTCTACCACTATTACAATTGCTACCACCATCACTACCACCGTCTACCACTATGACAACTGTTACCACCATCACTACTACCTTCTACCACCATCACTACCACCCTCTACCACCATCAACCACTATCACAATTGCTTCCACTCTGCCACGACCACCTTTGTATTTTTCTACAAACTTTTTCATAAATCATGTGTTTCTCACATTCTTTACCAAAGGGCTGGCACTAGAAGCTTTCTTTGGAGCCATGGAGATTTATTTAGCAGTTGCAAGCACTAAAACAAATTGAATATTATGAAATATTTCGTATGAACAAGTGAGGGGACCGTTGCTCACTGGTAAACAATGGCACATTGGCTGGAAAGAGAAACTGAGGCGGCTCAGAGCGTGAGTACGTGTCCCGGACGAAGGACAATTAGCGAGTAAACCGACCATTTGCGAGCCAATGTTTAGACGAGAATAACGCGATGATTTCCGAAAAGGACAACTATCGAGTCGGACGATTATTGAGGGACCACTGTATTAGTCATTCGTACCAAACGTGTCCACACGGCCCAAGCGGTCCGACACACCATTTACAGCCAGTGTGCCATTGTTTATCAATCCAATGAGGACATTCATATGATATATTTTGTATTATTCCACTCTTTTTAGTGCTTGCAACTGCTAAATAAGCCACCATGGGCCCAAAGAAAGCTCTTAGTGCCAGCCAGCCCTTTGGTAAAGGGCTGAGAGAGAGGGGAGAATGTGCCTTTTTCAGTGATTCTGCAATATGTATGATATTAAAGCAGCAGGAGTCGATAAAGGCTATAGCACCAGCCAGTGATAAAGGGTAGCATTAACAGTGCAGCAAGTAAATTAAGTGATTAATTGATAGAAAAAGGACAGCACAAAACTGACTCCACCATTGTTGTTGGAGGTACATAGGGCTACTGAGTAACATTGCCACCTCTGCTGCTGCCTTCGCCACCACTCTGACATTCTTAATGCCATATTTTAATCATTCTAAAGTATATATCATGTTTCTATGTTATTAATATTGTTTATTATGTCATATTAGATGAATTGTGCTAGATAAATAAGCCATAGAGCTGATATTAGTGTCATATTGAAGGACTATCTTGTCCTCTCTCCCAACACAATCCTAAGATACGCCAGAAACACTTTTTTGAGCGACAGGGGTCCAGTGACTCACAAGCTGATCCTAGTGGCATTAAAAAACAAAGGAGGGAAGTAGCCCAGGATAAAGACTTGGTACCTGAAGTCTTTATGGAAGGGGATTCCCCTTCCAAACAATTGTAAACTCCTCCGTGGTTGCAGGGGTCGAGTCTTAGCTCCTGGCCCCACCTCTTCACCGGTTGCTCTTCACCGGTATGAGTGTGTGTGCGTGTGTGTGTATGAGTTTGTGTATGTATGTGTGTGTGTGTGTGTGTGTGTGTGTGTGTGTGTGTGTGTGTGTGTGTGTGTGTGTGTGTGTGTGTGTGTGTGTGTGTGTGTGTGTGTGTATGTGTGTGTGTGTGTGTGTGTGTGTGTGTGTGTGTGTGTGTGTGTGTGTGTGTGTGTGTGTGTGTGTGTGTGTGTGTGTGTGTGTAGTGTGTGTGTATGTGTGTGTGTGTGTGTATGTGTGTGTGTGTGTGGTTGTGTGGTGTGTGGTGTGTGTGTGTGTGTGTGTTGTGTGTGTGTGTGTGTGTGTTGTGTGTTGTGTGTGTGTGTGTGGTGTGTGTGTGTGGTGTGGTTGTGTGTGTGACTCAACAATCAATTTTTGCACCAATAATCATTACAGTTGGACCGGGTTGTGGAAGTGTGAATTGCTCATTACACTATAATTGTTCTGATTGTAGCCATGTATAAACGTAAGTAACCATTCTTACAGTATTCATTACCTTTGTAGCTTGTGAGTTCATTACCTTGTACCTAGTTC